CCTCCTCCTCCTCCTGGAGCTCTTCGCTGGGCCGCCCGTGGCCCTACCGGTCTGTCCGTTTGTCAGGCCATGCGTCCAAAGAGCAGCCCCCACCCCGCGGCTCCTCCCGTCCCGCCGGCCCCGTCAAGCCGGAGGCGATGCCCTTAGGAAATACTTGTAGGCAAAGCAAATCCGGCCTCACGCTTGTTCCCCTGTCCTGTTTCCCTGTGCTTTTCGCTCCCTCTCTCTGCAGTTATGCCCTGCCGACTTTCCAAAGCGTTTGCCTTTAATTCACCGTTTAGAAAAGCTATCTTGCTACATCGATGTTTAAAATTGCTATTAATAGATTTGAGGCGTTACCAGACGAATCAAGCATAAAGGGAGGTACAAGACTTCATGTGTTGTTCCAGGGGATGATTCACCAGAAGTTGCTAATGGATGTTTTCTCCCCTTTGAGGCAACACCTTTGCATGTAGGAAAGCAGTGACAGCCTGGTCTCATTTTACCCTTCCTCTATGAAGGCCTCCTAAAAGAGACATCTATTCCCCCTGTAAAATCCACACTCATTTTCCTTAATCTTCTTTTTCTTGTGACTCTCCAACTCAGTGCTCGTCACTTCAGAGCAGAACCACCACAGTTTCCCCGTGTTGTTTAGACAGACTTTTCCCTCCCCTTGTCTACAAAGACTGTCTATAAATTTAAAACAAATGACCTGAAAGTGTAAAGTCAATGCAGATAACCGCTAGTTGGAAATCTTCATACTGTGCCTTCTGGTCAGAAGTTAAGTGATAGTGAGCTGATTTTCCTTAATTACAGCTAATACCTAAACTCACCTGTATCTATTCAGCTCATCTAGCTTAGGCAAGAAATTGGTTTATACAGACTTGCTTACCATTGCTTCCAGTGACCCTAGAAAGAGTCTGCTGTATTGCTTGTCCTTGTGCTTTTCCTCCTCTTCCGGATATATTCAGCATTTTATGGGTATTGTAGCGTGGTCTGTATTTTAGGTGCTAGTGTGATAGAGCAAATCTCAGTATTTGTTTGCTCAGATAACATTTCCTAATGTACATGTGTTTCCTCATAGATGTGGTATCTTTCTCTGAGCAATCTCTCTCCATACCAAGATGTAGGAACGGCTGCCATGGAAGGAATTAAGTGTGGTTTTATGTAAGTCAGTCCTTTAGGGGGCTTTCATAGCTACTGCTCTCTTGAAGAGAAGAAATTTAGACTCGTTTGTTCCCTAGTACGGCAGAGGAGGAAGGGAAAAAACTTCTCAATGGATTCTTCTTTTTGGATATATATCACAGTTTGGCTCTAGAGAGCTATTGCATTCTGGAGATGCTACCCTATTGCTACAACGTGTATTCGGTCTCTGTAAACCGTGTTGAATTACATCCCAGCAGCATTGAAAAGTAATTTTCAGATTACTGAAAATTAGTTTTCGAAAGAAGTGTTTTGTTGCATTTTACGCAGGAAGTCTCGCTGAGTGGAATTTTAATGTCATCTCCTCTGTATCTAGTCATTGTTAGGTTTTAAAGTGCATGGTTGATTTGCAAATAAAAGACAGGTCTAAGGATAATATTGCCCAGGATTTTGCAAATGTTTATATGTTTTCTTTACTTCCCATGTATAAATATCATTACTGCCACATTGGGAGCTTCGTAGGGTTTGGTTTTGATTTGTTTTGCATTTTTGTGTGTGGAGTGGTAATTTTGGAAGTCACTATTAAGGATTTTAGCCTGTGTAGTTCAATGTGGGAGCTAAACTGGATCTGGATTTGTAAGGGGTGGGCTTTAAATATGTTTTTGATAACCAATACTAGTTACTTAAGGTTGTAGTCCACATCATCAGAGATTTTTAGATTTTTTCAATGGTAACAAGATGCTTGAGAACTGTGGAAGCTCCAGGTCAACCAAGGTGCCAATTTATGGATCTATTTAGAATTTTTGTTCTATGGGAATGTTGGATGTGATGTAAGAACCAAAACCTTGTGTTCCAAAATATGCTTTCTATGCATGAGATTGTGATGAAGACACCACTGATTGCTTTAAATTCATGTTGTAGCTTAGTCTGAGTTAATTTTTGAGTTGACTATAAACTCTTGATTGCCGTAAGCTTGATCTTGCAGTTGCTGATATCTGTTCTTATTATTAAATGTAGATGTAGATCTATTAGAGTTAATAACATCAATTTAAAATCTAATTGAAAAGCAATTTTAATCTTGACCTAAAAGCCTTAGATTACTTACTAAAAATGGCATTTGTGCTATTGGACAGTGGGAGTATCTATCTCATTCTTTTTCAGCAAAAAACTAAAGTCTTCATTCTCTCTTTTTACACCACAAAATCAGATCCTGTGCAGTCTGATAACTGAGAATTAGTGAGAAGACAACATTAAAAAGATCAAGAAAGTAGAAAACAAAATGATTGAAAGCACAAGGATGATTGCAATAAGATCTCTCATTCACTTGTACTGTTCGGTTAGCATAATCTGTCTCTACATGTTTGCCTGTATTTTTGTTTTAGGAGAATTCCTACATGCTGAAAAGCAAGTGCCACAGAGCAACTCACATTATTTTCTGTTTCTGTTGGTGCAGTGGGGAAAAGGCAAAGTGAGGGACCTGAATATGTGCTATGTTCCAGCAAGTTCAGTTCTAACAAAGGGGCATTGAAAGAGTTGGTTGTGGTTGTGTTTGTTAACACTTCTCTAACAAGGAGACCAAAAGAGATATTTTCTTCTACTTTTTGTTTGTTTTCTTTCACCTCTGTCTCCTCCATTGCAGTATACCACCTTGCATCTTGATGCAAACCCATTCTCAAAAGATTTAATGAGACCAAAAAACCCACTAAGCTGTTTCTGAAATGTGATGTATGGTTCATGGTACTGATGTACTATTTAGGTTTTACAACATGAGTTCAGTTTCTTCCTGTCTCACTGATCTTCTAGGAAATGTTGGACCTCTTTCTTTCTAAATTTCTGTCTGTAGAATGAATAATAGTTCTTTCAGATCTCACCAGGGAGGTAGGGTGAGGGGAGGATTATAAGAAGAAACACAAGCTACTTCGGAGGTTCACCATTGTACTGAAGAATTATTCCAGATAATGCTGTGCATTATAGGAGTAATAACTGATTATTTATACAAAAGGAGCATACACCAAATAAATCTTCCTGATGCTAAGCTGGTTTAGGTTATGAAATTCTCTTGCAAGGGAAAGCTAGGGAGAGCAACAAGTCATAAGAGGACAATGCAGAAGCTTTCTGCTGCATAGAAGCAGATTGCTCAATCTGATGCATATCTTCATGGTGCCATCTGCATTTAGATGTCCAAAACTTAGGTTTCTATTTAATACCCTATTTACCATATTTATTTCTGTAGTCTTGTTGTAATAAGTAATACTGTAAAGCAGAGGTCAGATTTCTTTACTTGACATAAAGTGATTTATTGTCAGCTGAAAATCTGGACTCTCTTTTTCCTTTCAGTTTTACTCATACTTGAGTGAACTGGTTTTGAGCTTTACCATAATGGGATCCCGGGAATATAAACCAAGCAAACTCTTTCTTACACATGACTTGTGAAGCAAACATTTGGATTAGTGGAAGTTATAAAAAGAAAAAAAGGCAACATTAAGGGGAGTTCATATTTTTTGTGCTCCATCTGCATTTATTGGTTCTCTGGGAGCATAATGGAGCGTAAATGAACAAAAACCTGAAGAGTTTTTGTTTTGTATTCTGCTCCCTTAGGGTTTCATTCCATTTATACTTTATGTTTTCCTACTTTGGAGACCTGGTGAGTCTTGACTAAACCTAGACAGAGAAGTTTAGTCAAATTACTCTGTTTCTCTGGGATTGCCACTTACCCCAATTTGATTAGAGTCTGTTTTACAAAGGTAACAGTTACAGCTACAATACGTTAGCTTGTAGGCAATTAAAACAAACTTTAAAGTGACTTATCTCTAAAGTATCTAACACCTTTAAATGTTGAAACATGTGTTACAATATTCTAGTTTGTACTGAAACTACTATCCAAAGCTGGAGAATTGACATGTAAAATCAGAAAAGGAATCGGACTTCTTTCACTTTTTGTTTTCAGGATAGAAAAGATGTCTACAGATAGACAGAGGCTATATCCCTCAGGACATATGGCAAAACTTAAGGCACAACTGAACAGAATAATGTGGAGCAGGAGAAAGTCCAGGAAACTTGTTACTGCTTAAAAGTACCTATGCAGTTGAACTTTGAAAGTTACTTCACCTCTGTCTTCTAAATGATGTCTGAATACTGTTTGCATACCTTTTCTATTCCTTGTCTGGATATATGTGCATGTTTACCTTGGAGATCTGGAGCTTCACCTCATTAGTATACCCCCAAACATGTTGAATATATGTGCCAACGTAGAAGATATAATTGTCCCCTTGCATTATGTCCAGGAAAAGGGCCTTCCCCCACGACTCTGAACGAAGCATCGACTCCCCACCAGAGCCATCGACTCCCCACCAGAGTCTGTCTGTGTTTATTTATGTAAGTACAATAATAATAAACCTTTATACTTTTCTGTCTTTGAGAGGATTTATTCAGTGTTTGCTACCCAGTGACTGCAGAGTTCTTTGTTAACATTGTGTGTTAGGTTTTGACCGTGGCTACCCCCTGGCAAAAGAGATGACTTTGGTGTATGGAGCCCCCTTCCTCTGGGCAAA